TCTCTCTCTCTCTCTGTTCATTTTACTTGGATTCAGACCTTTTTTGCGGCCCTTTCATTCTTCCTTCTTGATTTGGCCCCGAATAGAATCCATCGCCATCTGGTGTTTCCAACAGATTTGAACAGCCATTAGATCAATGACCGCTGAATTCAAGTACTGATATCCGAGTTTCTTAAAAATTTACAAATGATGTCTAAAACAATTGGTGTTTCAATGATGTCTAAAACGATCGGTGTTTCAATGAATGCGAGTTCATGTATGTCCCTTGAAAGATTAAATTTGTGTAGATCCAACAGCAATATATCAGAATGCCTTTTATAGTCAATGCACTCAAAAAAAAGGTGATTCGCTGATTGAGAATCGTGACCACATGGGCAGGATTTTTCTGTAGTAATGCCTTTATCGAATAGATGTAAGTTACAACCAGTATGGAATGAGTCTATTGATTATAACAATATACTTCCTAGGAATATGCTTAAATTGCTTGTACCATGGATTTGATAACTCTTTATTTCTGGTTCTATTAAAGTATCTGTAGCCTTTATATGAAGCAGTTTGTTCCAATATAGAGTATGAAAACTGTTTATAGTGTTTCAAAGTTGCTGAACAGAAGTTAGAATAAAAATAGCGATTTTCATGCTGAGCAACAAGGTTTGTACTTTGTTGTGCTGCCTGCGATGCGAGAAAGTCTACTAGATCATTGCCATAAAGATTAATGTGCCCAGGGGCCCAGGTAATAATTATATTACTACCAAAGTTATTGGCCGAGAATAAGAGTTTCTTGATCACATATAGCTGTTACTACGCTCTTAGAATCGGTAACGATTAAATAATCAGTCCCAATTTGTGATTTTATATAATAAATGACTTTGATAATAGCTAAGGCTTCGATTTCGAAAATAGAGAAATAACTATTTATAGAGCCCATAATGCATTTTTTATTCCATTCAAAGTAACAGGCGTACCCTCCAAGACCATCAACCTTCTTCGAGCTGTCGGTGAAAACAACGTGATAGTTAGGATATAACTTC